TTTCTCTCACGGTACGCAACAGAATTTGATAATATATATACCACTAGATAGAGGAAGTCTTCCTGTACAAACCTACATATATCCGGTTCTGGGGTCAAAAATTACCATGAAAGTCATAGTCGCCTTTTGATTATGTAACAAATCAAATTGAATGATATTTTGTTTTTTTTTAGATCTAAGTTTTCAAGATAATATTCATCGAACTTTTGATATAATCCATTATTATATTATATTTGGTATTTTAATTAAATTTATAATTTCATACAAGTAAGTTAATCATCTTTAGAATAAATTAAAATGAATAGTATTGATATAATAATTTATTTAGACATCAGTCACCATGTAATTTAATATTGGCTCATCATACATGTTGTACTTGGTTTTATTTATTATCCAAAGAATTACGACAACAATTTGCTAGTTTTATTTGTCGAGTAATTTATTTATTTATTTTTTAATATTTGATAAATATAGAAACTAATTCTATTTAATTTTCTATTTGTTTAGACAATGCCACAGTTTACCATGAATGATGGAATAGATTTTCCTCAAATTTCACGTCAAAATCGATCTCGTTCTATATCATCTTTAAATGATGATAAAACGTTAATAGATTTTACAGATCGAAAAATGACAATAACATCAACAACAACAACAACATTAACACCACTAACCAATGAATATAAACAATTAAAAAAATTAAACAATGATTTAACAAGAATTACGTTCAGTTTTATTCAAGATTATCTTGAAAAATCATCTGTACCAAAGACTGTATTGTAAGTAATCAAATATAAATATCTTTTTCTATTTATTGTTTTTGTATATTTTTATTATTATTTTTAGAATTTGTTTACCGCGTGATATTCGTCGTAATCATCCAAAAAAATGTTGGCTATTTGATGACTCTTATGTATGTAGTATAAATGATTTGAATGATTCAATTACTGAACAAACATTATTAAATAATAAAAAAGCAGCAAAGGAATTTATTTTATCTACACAAATACCAATTGTTAATGATAAACGTCGACGACGACATACTGAGACAAATATTCGACAATCTTCTTCAATAAAAGATCCATCTGATCTTGATTCACAAACAAGTAAAGATGATCTTGATATAAATTCAACAAAAATTTTGGGTAAATATTATCTATACGATAAAATAATCTTTATGTATAATAAAAATAATATTTGGTTGTTGTTTTTGTGATTTTAGATTCAGATACAAATGATTCATCAATATTTAATTGGAGAAGTTTATGGATTAATCTTACTTGTCGAACATTTACAAATAAATCGAATATACTTGCCTTAATTCATCCAGTATCACCAGTCATTGACAACCAGAATGAAAGATTATATTGGTTTGAGGGTAAAAACTACAATAATATTGTGTGTGTGTGTGTCTTTTCCAACAAGTATTATTCAAAAATAAAAACATTTACTATTCGTTGCATATTTAGGAAAAAACGATAAATCTTATATACGTATATTTTATGAGTTTTTTTTCAGCTATCAAGTTGAGTGATACATGGTCCGATAAAGATACAACAACATTACCATCGTCATTTGATTATAACGAACAAGCAAGTTCGAGATTAATAAATGATAATGTATTAAATAGAGAAATTTATTCACTAGTTGCAAATGACGAGTAAGTCAAATATGTTCAGAGATAGAAAAGTACATATTTTTTCGCATCTTTTATCATAAACAGAAGAAAAAAAACAGTAACATACATACATGTACTTTTAAAAAACAAAAATTAATTATAATTAGTTTTATTGACATGTTGACGAAGAGAGTTTCGATCAATGTGGACTGGTGATGAAACCACTCTGCAAAAATATAAGCTCGATAGGAACTAAAAATGACTGATACTATTAAATATTTTATAGTCAATTGAGTATAAACATATTTTGTTTTAAAAATATAAGATTACTATTAGGGGTGGTACGTTCCCGTTACTTTACTCTGACAAGTAACGATAACGAAAATCTGTTACTACGTACTAGTAACGGGCAATAGAAATCTGTTACTTTATTTGAAAGTAACGGTAAAAGACTCTTTTTGTTGTTTTGACAACCCCTTATATATTTTGTTAAACTAACTGATGAAAAAAAATGTTTTTCCAAACATTTCATGTTTCTACCTTGAAAACTGTGTCAAATCCAACGAGCGAACCTCTCGAGGCGATAAAACGCTTTTTGCTCGTAATCGAGTGGGTTATAGGTTATCAACCATGTTGATTTCGAATACGACCATAGGGATGGCCCTTAGTCCTTCAAAGACCCGGTTTTCTAGGAAACCAGTTTTTCAGAAACTCTAAAATATAATCAGAACCTTTCTTAATGAGGCACGATTGTAGTCCGTAAATTTCTGATTAAAATGAGACATCCCCCAGCTTTACACGACCTTTCTTTGCTAAGTTACAGAATTTACAAGTAAGGTCCTAAATTAATTTTTTCCTTCTTATTTCTGTAGCTTTGAGCGGACAATGAACACTTACGGCTTTTCTTGTAAATTCCATAACTTTGCAAAAAAAGATCGTGTAAAGCTGGGGGATGTCTCATTTTAATCAAAAATTTGTGGGCTACAATCATGCCTCATTGAGAAAAGTTTTGGTTATATTTTAGAGTTTCTGAAAAACTGATTTTCTAGAAAACCGGATCTTTGAAGGACTAAGAACCATATCCATGGTCATACTCGGAATCAGCACGGTCGATAACCTATAACCCACTAGATTCTGAGCAAAAAGCGTTTTGTAACCTCGAGAAGTTCCCTCGTAAGAGTCCGTTACTCTGTAATAGTACTATTCTCTGGAACAGAAGAGAGTAATTTTAGAAATAACTGTAACTCTGTAAACTTTATGTACTATGACGCGAATAATTCTCATGTTGATTTAAATTTCAAAAATCTATCCTTTAATCCAATGTTTCAATGAGTTTCAACAAGCTAACAAATGAATTAACAGATTACTTCAACCAGAAAAAATAATTCACCTGTTACTCTTCCAGACGTAACACGAGTAACGGATTTCCATTACCCGCTACAGTAACGATAAAGGGAAAGTGCCACCCCTAATTACTATCCATACTTTCTTCTTTTAAGAAATAATCTAGATCATTAAGAGTGTTTGAGACACTATCCAAGTCCACATCATAAGCATATATAATTTGAAAGAAGAAAATACCCATTATTTTGATCAACGCGTTTATTTATCTTTAAAAAAGAAAAGCTTTTCCGAGTGATCATTGAAAAAATACGACTAGCATAAATTTTCATATTCGCGCACCTCTATATATTTGAGCTTTATTGCTTTAGTAATGATACATTTCTTTATTCTAGTCAAAAAGACGCAGCACAAATATTAAATCAATGTCACGATGGAGAAGGAAAAAATATTCAACGTATCCCACCGGTTTGTATTCATTTTGATCTAAAATTTTCTTTTTCTTTCGCTCTTTCTCTTTCTCTATCTGTTCTTAGTTTGTTTAGGAAGTACTTGGCACACTACTAGATGGAACATTAACAAAATTAATAAGTAGAATTGGTATTGTTTACATTGATCATGGACAGGTAACATATTGATTTTAAAAATAAAATATATCACAATATATTCTACTTGTGTTTAGAAAATGACCGAAGGATCAATATTATCTACTTTGAAAGGATCAGAACGTTATTATAAATTTTTAAATTCAATAGCTGATCTATTAACATCTGAAAAACTTAAAGAAAAAAATTTTCATTATCCACTTGGATGTGATCGTGGAGAATGTACTTATTTTTGGCAAAAATCTTTATATCAAGGTATAGATTGTTTGAACTATTTAAATGAATAATTAAATTATTTTTATATTTAAGTATTATTTGATGTTTCAACGATAATGCCAAATCTATCTGATGATCATATCAATAAGAAACGAACACTTGGAAATGATGTTGTGCTTATTGTCTACAACGATAGTGCTACACCTTATGAAATGAAAACAATTTCGGTAAATCTATTGTACATGCACTCTCGCTTGTCACAAGGAGAAAATCCTTAAAAAAAAACTTTTTTTTATCAAGATTTTCAGATAAAAGTTCAATAAAAGCTTTTAAGATATTTTTGAAAAATCTTCCAGAAAAAGAGGAACACTTTTCATCGTGTTTATTTTGCTTCTTTTTTTTATAAATCATATTTATTTTTGCATATTCTGACAGATTTATCTATTAATATGTTTCTAAATCATACGTTGAGACACTATCTCATACTATCATCAGAACAGAAAATAGGAGTGATTAGATTCACGCAGATTCAAATATAAATCATGGCTAAAATCTGGAGCCTCAACCACATCGTATACATATACACTACATATACAGTAATCAATCGAAATTGCTTAAAAACGGCGGTTGATCGGATATCAGTGAAGAGCCAGAAATACGATAGTTTTTATAAATATTAATAACTTTCAACTTTTTTCGGTCAATTTTCCAGCAGAAAACCGTTTATAAATCCATTTATAAATCTATAAATAAACGTTTATAGAGCAATTTATAACTATTTCGGACTCCTCAGTGTCAGATATAAGCATAAATTAACAGCTCTCATTAGAAAATTAGAATTATTTGATATAAAGTAAATAAAAAAACAGGCTGCCTGTTTTACAATTTGAATGTTGACTGTTATCAGCAATTGCTGACATGCTTTCGAAAAATTTCAAGATTTTCAGAAAGAATCCTATTCTTTCACTATGAACATTATTTCATAATATTTTCTGATGTTAGGCTGGTGTTTGCGTTTATTGTCTTGAATTAAGTCCAATACCTGATACGTTTTATACTCGTGTAACATTGAAAAAACGAGGCGAAGTTTTACAAGAAAACGAATCATCCCGTAAGTAAAATTATCTATACTGTCATAATCTATCAAATATAAAATCAATAAGATATATATTTAGAAAAAAAAGTACCATTGACACGATTAACCAATATTGATCATATTATAATGGATGAAAATTTATCGTCGTACGTCCGCTTACTAGCTATTTGTGTTGAACAATATGGTAAATTAGAGAATTTAAAAACACGATCACCACCGACATATTCCATATCTACTTGGCAAGCTCGTTATAATTATTTTCAAAATATCTATGCCAAATCTCAACTATTTTCAAATCGTTAAAAAGTAATCTGTTTAGTTGATTTTAGTCCTCTCTCTCTCTCTCTCTCTATCTTTTTCTCTTATATATTATTTTGCAGTCGTTGTATGGATGTGAAAGGGAAGGGCGGTTGTCTAAGTCGTTTCTATTTGCCAGATTTTATGCACAATATTTTCTTTTTTATACGATGTTCTTTTTTTGTTTGTTTGTTTCTTCTAAGATACACGTAGTTGTTGTCCTGTTGTTAACTTTAGTAATAAACTTATATGGGGTGTTTTGAGTTTTTGATTAAAGATAGATGAATGAATGGATGGATCAACAGTAGCAGCTTGTGACCAATCTAGATGGTGGATTACAAAATCGAATTTCATAGATTTATGACGATTTATGCCCATTTTAGATTGAATCCAACAATGTTCTATTCAATAGATGATTGACATTTGTTTGTTTTTCCTAATATGTACAACGATTAAATAATTGATATCATATTCAACTTGTCGGAATATTCTAATTCAATGAAATGATTAAATTTTATCAAAATGAATTTCAAGACGTTTTGTCAATATCATTATTAACAGCAACTAACTGTATAAATGACAAAAAGAATTAATTTCAGCATATATTAGCCACTAGTAGGTATGATCCAGAGATGTGCAACCCGTACACGACCCAATCCGAAGGTTGGGTACGGGTCGGGTACGCGTACAGCAGTTAGAGGTACCTGTTCCGTTTTTTCTTTATTTGTCCAAAAACCGGAAGGTTTAAGTGGAAAACCACAAAATTTTAGTGGAAAAATACAAGATTTGAGCTAAAATACATGAAGTTATAAAGAAAAGTTACTTGAGAACGTAATGATAATTTGTCATCTCCAGCCGAAAAACAAAAGTTTTTTGCTGGAAAACGAAAAGGAGAAAATTTTCAGTAGGGTACGGATACAAAGTTCAGGTCGGGTTGGGTACGCGTGGAAAAAAATTTCGGGTAAGGTATGAGTACGAAAACGGTACCCGTGCACATCTCTAATACGATCATCAATTACTGACGAAGCATTCTCATGACAAATAATATAATTTGGTAAATATATCATCAATCCTTTCAGAAGAAAATATGTACAACAACAAACGACTGTTAGTCCTTAAAAGTCCTTCTATCGTCAATCTGATGTTCCTGCAGTATCATTCGAGTCAGATTAAATCAATTAAAATATAGACTATGTATTTTCATTTATTTTGTCAGAGACTTTTTTTCTCTTCACGCTCTATACATTACTTTATGTGTCAACTAGCGGAAGTACCCGATGTCGGTCTAGATAATCTGATAGTACATGTTTGACGTATGAGAAGACGACGTCGCTATGGTCTTCTATGGATTTCCGATCGGGGATATCGCACAATACGCTTGGATCTT